CTGTGGGTCATTCCTTCAAGCTCACGATGTGGTTTTTGCTCACAGTCACCATCAGCACTGAGGATTTACAGACACGTCGTTGCTAAGGGTGAGCAACACAGCCCCAAAATGACATCACAACATTCACATAGAAAAAAGAAATACTGAACTGTGTTGTATCGGTGACTGCAGCATTTATTAGAGCAAACACTACTTTTCCAATGAGCCGCTGCCACTGACGACACACTGCCTAATTCAAAGAGTAAGTCTCCTGCCACGAGGTGCCAGCAGCTGCAGCACAGTAACACAACTGCAGTGACACAGCATAAAATGAGCCTGCAGACAGTCTCACACTAGAAACTGAAAACATTTTTTCTACCTGGGATCTTCGTGTCGGGTCGAGTGCTTTAAGGAGTTGCTTAAAGCGCTCCTTTACCGTCACATCAGTAATTTTCATCCACAGCACGAGGGAAAGGACACGCAACGCATTGCTATATCGCTGATAACGCAATATAATGATACAATTGCGTACAGTCAGATATGGCACAGCCTTGCACGTCACGCTCTTGCGCACCAAAGCTGGACTCCAGTCATGATCCAGAAACCTCTCAGAGACGCTTAGGAGACACAGGCATGATGGGACATGAAGTTTGAATTTGAGGACGGCACAAATAAATAAACAGTGGTCATAGTTCACTGCACACAGTCCGTCTGCAGCTTATTAGCATTCCACATCATGCAGAGATACGTGGTGCTCCTTAACCCCTCTATCTCGCTGCGGCTTACCGTTTGGCTCCTCCTGCATCTGGAGACACGATGATACAGTTCTTCCACTCAGGAATGTGTTCTTTGATCCACTGCAGGACGGCGGGCTCGGCGTACAGGTTGTCCACAGCAATGTCAAAGAAGCCCTTAAAACAAAACCGGACCAGAGTAAAACGATAATTAGCTCTTTATGTATGCAAACACAACACGTGCAGCACAAACAGAACTGGATCAAAACATACATTCACCTTCAAATCACTCTGTTAAACTGTTGCTGTGAAACTGGCAGCTTAGTATGAAGCTACCAGCAGTATTAGACCCATCTACAAGCACCTGTGCAGCCCTCTAAGTTACTCAGCTTGATTTACTTTTTAGTGTTAGCGTGTGAGACTAAGGCTACGTTCACACTGCAGGTCTTGATGCTCAATTCCGATTTTTTGATCAAATCCGATTTTTTTGTCTGCTCGTTCACACTACAAATAAAATGCGACAGCAAACGCGCTCTAGTGTGAACGCTCAAAGCGGCC